GTATTACTGCAATACCGGCACGGCCAGGCAGATTTAAATACCGGCTGTGCCAGTAAAATACTAGTCAGGTGGCAAACCTAAGAGTAGTGTGTAAAAAAAAAAAAAAATTTTTTTTTTTTTTTTTTTTTTTAAATGGGCCTATTCCATGGGCCTGGGCCTGGGCCTGGAGCTGCAGCTCCATCAGCCCCTATGTTAATCCGGCCCTGATGCAAGTATACATAACATGACACAATACCTAGTTCACATTGTTGTATATTAGAAGAACTAGATTTAGTGTTAACAAATGGAGATTTGGTATCAGATGTTACTGTAGGTGAAAGTGTAAAATACTACTTTTTTGTTTGCGAGCTGTTTTCCCCATAACGCCACCGCTACCACCACCGGGAAAAATTCTAGGAACGCGAGGTTCCTTATCAGCGAGCTCGTCTTCCACTCCGCCGGCCACTCCTCGGCGCACCATTGTCCCGCTAAATAAGCCCCAAACCCCACGCTCCCGGAGGCGTCTGTAAACAAGCCAATGTCCTTGGAGGATACTCCCAGCTCCCGAAAAAACACTATACCGTTAAATTCCCTTAGAAACCTTTTCCAAACCCCCAGGTCCGCTCTCATATCCGCCGAAACTTTTACGTAATGATTCGGCAACCGCACACCGCTCGTCGCCTGGGCCAGCCGTCGACAAAAAACTCTGCCCATTGGAATCACCCTGCATGCAAAATTAAGACTCCCCAATAGTGACTGCAGCCCTCGCAAAGTCACTTTTCTCGCATGCCACGCCGTGTCCACTAGCTGACAAAGCTTAAGTAGCTTGTCCGCGGGCAGTCTGCATTCTCCTTTTACAGAGTCAATCTCCAGGCCGAGGAAACTAAGGCATGAGGTGGGGCCAACCGTCCTATCCCCTGCCAAAGGAACCCCAAAAGAGTGTGCTATCCATTGAAACACCCTCAATATCTGGCCACATCGCTCAGATCCTTCCGGCCCTACACACAAGAAATCATCGAGGTAATGCACGATTGATCCCCCAGCCGACTCCCGTCGTACCACCCATTCCAAAAAGGTGGTATCTTTTCGAAATAGGAACACGAGATGGAACAGCCCATTGGTAAACACAGATCTATGAAGAAACCCCCTTCGAAGAAGCACCCCAAAAGGTGGTGACAACCCGGATGAATGGGGATCAGCCGAAATGCTGCCTCCACGTCCACCTTTGCCATCAGTGAACCAACTCGACCGCATGATCGAATGGTGAATAGGATACGGAACACAGCGCCTCGTCGATATAATCATTTAGTGATGACCCCGTGGGTGCGATAAGTGATGTATCAGGCGAAATTTCCCTTCCTCCTTTTTAGGGACCACACCCAGCGGAGACACCCTTAAATCTTCTATCGGCGGGGATGGAAACGGCCCTGCCATCCTCCCCATCTGGACTTCCTTCATTAATTTTTCCCGCACTACCCCCGGGTGGTCCCGGACTGATTTAAGGTTTGCACACATGGTTCCCGGACCTTTGACCTTGAATGGGATAACAAAACCCTCTGTAAACCCCCGCCATAAAAACCTCGCCTCTTCCTGGTTACCGTACTGCCTTAACTATGGCAGCATCGCGCCGACCTTCACCGGCGACGTTCCCAGTCGCCACCGCCATGGCTGTTGTCCCTGCTGCACCCCCGAAGTTAGATTTTCCTTTTTTAAAATACCTGTTGACTCCATGATTTCCCCCGCATCCGGAACATTCATGTTTAAATCTACACGATGCCCCCCATTTGCACTGCCCTTCATTGTACAGCCAACAGAACCCCTTCTTCTGTCCGGCCGGTACAGCACTTCCCGTGGCCGTACCGGCCGTCCCTTGAAAGGGCGCATTTTTCTGGGCCATCATTATTCTCATCCATAAAGGCAGGTCCATCTGATCCCACCTCATAATAGGATTCGCTGCCAACCGTTGGCGGAATTGTTCGTCGTACCGCCACCATGCTAATCCCCCATAAGTCCTGTAAGCGTCCCCTATCCCGTCCAAATAACAAAACAGCTGCGAACATCGTTCTGGGTACTTTTCCCCGACTACGCTCGCCAAAATACAGAAGGCTCTGAGCCAATTCCCAAAAGTCTTGGGTATCTTCTGATGCCGCCGCTTTTTTCCTCTTCTTTTTTGGCGTCCTTCTTATCCTCTTCCTTCAAGTCGAGAAATTCCTCGAGTGGAAGTAAGGAGAAGATTTCCATGAATTCCCCCTTCCCAATTTTTTCTTTTACCTCCGCTTTCAGGTGACATCCTAGTGGTCCCGCGAAGGACACATGCACGTTTTGCCGTGCCACGTCCGCTATCACACCACCCCCGACCGCCTGTTGGCCAGACCCGACTGCCTTTCCGGTTCCCGACTCACCGTCCCCCGTTTTGACGGCACCCGACTTGTGTGTCACCATCCTCTCCGCCCCTTGTTCTTTATCTCCCCTGTCCTCTGGCAACCATACCCTACCAAACTGCGGGGTTGACCCCTCATCTCCCGCCCAGGAGTTAATGAAAGATTTTAAGCAACCCAATAAGGACCCAGTGTGTGGTGTACTTCGTGGCCGGCCACGGGGTTGCTGTCCTTCCGTCCGCCTTTTCAGGCTCCGGAGACTCCTGTTGCCGCCGACTCCTTTCCGCCTGGCCTCTCCTCGGGACCGTAGGTGTCACACTCCTCGACCTGCCGGGAAAATATAACCTGGGTAGTCTGTCCACGTGTTGTCCTACCTGCCTTTCCTCCCGGCGTTCCTTCCTCCTGTCACTATCGCTACGCTGTCTCGCTGCCTGATCGTCCCGGCCGTAAGACCTCCTCTGCTGGTCCTTTAAACTCCCGCCAGATGAACTGGAAGCACTGCGCCTACATCTTAGCCTCTGTTCCCTGGTGCATGACCTCTGCCTGCTCCGGTGGCTCCTGGACTGGCTTCTGTCCCTGCTCCTCCCCTGCTCTGCTGACCTCCTCTGGGTGCTGCTCCTGTCCCCTTCACTGCGCCGCTCACTACTCACTCCTCGCCTCCTGGCCCAGCTCCTGTCCTGCTGCGCCTGAGAGCGGCCCATAGGGGGCTCCCGCTCGCCTCTGACCCCTCTGCATGTCTCCTTCCTCCTCAGCCCCTGCGGCTCCTCCATGTCCCTGCAACCTCCTGTCATCCCGGAAACTTCCTGAGGGCAGGGATTCACCCCCCCTCGCAATTCCCGTCTGCCCGGAGACGCTGCTGCCCCTGTCACTGCTACCTGTCCTGGACCTATTCCCTGTGAGGGTTAAGCCCGTCCCTGACCTGCCATCTGCCTCTCCACCTGTCACCTGAGGGGGTGCTGGCGTTGAGCTGTCCTCAAGCACCCCATCCTCCTGCCCCTCAGTATCGCCACTAGGGGTGGACTCACCGGGGCGCTGAGGTTCCAGACCGTCGCGGCCCTGCTGCCTGGCTGCCATCCCAGCTGTACAGGATCCAGCCGTGTCCTTCTGCCTCCCGCCCGCGGACTTGCGGCGGGGCCTTCTCCCACCGGCGGGCTTCCGACTAGCGCCCGCCCGGCGCACTCCGACTCTTGAGGCCCGTCCTTCTGCCTGGGCCGCCTTTTCCCCACTTTGTGGCGCTGGGCTTCTCCTCCTCCTCGCCGCTGGCGGTGCTCCCGGGCTGAGTCGTTGGGGCGGACGTGTCCTCCTGGTCGGCCTCCTCACTGACACCGCAGTGGGGGGAGCAGACGTGCTCGGGACCCCCAGTTGATCCTGCAGCCACGCCATCCCCTTCTCTTCCACCATTCTTCTCACACCGGCCAAGATTTCTTCGGCAGAAGCCATCCCTGCAAGAAAAAGAACAGACCACACAAACCTGACAAGTATCAAGTAAGTGTGATTTTGATTAAAAAGGCCAGTTCACCAAAATGGCTGTTATTTAAACCCTTATTCTCCTCCCCCCCCCCGTCCAGACATTACTTTTCCACACCCCTTGACCTTAACTTCACCTGCCAAATCTCTGGCCCTGTCAAAGCCCACTCCCCCCCTGCGTTGCTCCATGGGCTTCATGTCAGGCTGCCTGCCAATCCTGCAGGCTGTCCAACTAAGGGCATACTATGCAGCCAGCACCCTGAGCTTGACATAAATGCGTCTAATGATGCGGTCACTCCACGCTTTCTAAGGACTTTCCCCTAGCACTCGCTGGTCCACTTGTCTCCTTATCATCTTACTTGCAGGCAGAAGTTCCTGGTATATAGTCTGAGACAGAGAAAAGGTGTATGTAGTGAGTGTAGAAGAAAGGGAACATGCCACAGTGTTAGAGAGACCAACGTCTGCATTACCTAAACTAACTTTAATGTCAGCCAGTGCACACAAGTTTTGTTCCCGTACATCCCTCTTAAACTTCCAAACTTAAAGGGACACTATAGTCACCAGAACAACTACAGCTTATTGTATTTGTTCTGGTAAGTAGAATCATTCCCTTCAGGCTTTTTGCAGTAAACACTGTCTTTTCAGAGAACATAACTCTGAATGGCACTCCTTAAATGGCTGCTAGAGGTGCTTCCTGGGGCAGTACTGCCTAGTGTGCAGCACAGCCATTCAGTGTCTCCACCCTCTGCATGCATTGAGATGCATTGAATCAATTTATCTTCATGAGGAGATGCTGATTGGCTAGGGCTATGTTTGACTTGTGCTGGCTCTGCCCCTTATCTGCCAAGCTGGCAATCTGAGCCAATTCTATGGGGAAGCATTGTAATTTGCTCAGACTTCCACTTCTGATGATGTCAGCAGACAGAGTCAGTTCAGGGGCAGACAGGGACAGCAGCTGCAGACTTGAATACAAGTAAGATTTTACTATATTTAGGGAGGCAAGAGGGGGACAGGGGGGCTAAATGGTGGTTTTAACATAATAAGGTCAGAAATACATGATTGTGTTCCTGACCCTATAGTGTTCCTTTAAGCAAGAGTATGTGAAGAATAGTTAGGGTTGCCACCTTTCTTGTAAAAAAATACCAGCCTTATTAATTTGTATAATTAATTAGTTATGCGTGACATCACATGATGTAAATCACAAGGAGTGACATCAGAGAAAATTCTGTAAAATCACAAACTACTTACAGTTTGATTCTGCTGTATAGATGGATTGCTCCCAGTGTCTCCCTGTCTCACCTTGTGTCTGTCTCGCAAGTCACCCAGTCTCTCAGTGTCCCTATGTATCACAGTGTCACTGTCCCCATGTCGCCCAGTCTCCCAGTGTCTCAGTGTTCCCATTTCTCTCAGTGTCTCCTTGTCTCAGGATACTAGGGGACACAGTGAGGCATGCGTACACTGAGAGACCCGGGTATCACTGAGACACTTGGGGACACTGGGAGACATGGTGCACTCGGACACTAGGGGACACTGGGAGCCATGGGGACACTGAGACACTAGGGACACTGGCTGGGGGAAATGGGGACACTGTATCCCTAATTTCTCTGTGTCCCAATGTCTCCCATTGTCCCTATGTCTCACAGTGTCCCCATGTGTCTCAGTGTCCCCATGTCTCACAGTGTCCCCATGTCGCCCAGTGTCTCAGTGTCCCCATGTTTTCCAGTGTCCCCAAGTATATCAGTGTCCCCAGGTCTCGTGGTATCCCCTAGTGTCTGTATCCCCATGTGTCCCCTAGTGTCTCAGTGTCCCCATGTCTCCCTGCTGCCTTTCCCCCATCCCTCACTTACCTGTGCTGTGTAGCTGCTCCCGCAAGGATCAGTGAGTAATAAAGAGAGGCAGGGAGGGATATGCTGTAACTTCCTATACCTGCCTCTCTCTATACACTGGCCGGTGCTGGTATTGCAGAGAAATCTCAGTTTATACTGAGAAAAATAGGTGCATTTGTATTGCCGGTATTACTGCAATATTGGCACGGCCAGGCAGCCTCAAATACCGGCTGTGCCAGTAAAATACCAGTCAGGTGGCAAACCTAAGAGTAGTGTGTAAAAAAAAAAAAAAAGTTTTTTTTTTTGTTTTTTTTAAATGGGCCCATTCCATGGGCCTGGGCCTGGAGCTGCAGCTCCATCAGCCCCTATGTTAATCCGGCCCTGATGCAAGTATACATAACATGACACAATACCTAGTTCACATTGTATATTAGAAGAACTAGATTTAGTGTTAACAAATGGAGATGTCTGAGTCACACCACACAAAAACAAAAGTTTTAGACTTTAGAAAAACAGACTTTTCTAAAATTAGAATATGGGTAGAGGAGTTATTATCAGACTGGAGCAATTGAAATGGAGTACAAGAGAAATGGGATTATTTAAAAGTTGCACTATTGAAGGCAACAGAAAATTGCATTAGGCTTGTCAGTAAAAGCAAAAAATTCAAGAAACCACTGTGGTACTCCGCAGATGTGGCCAAAATAGTTAAAAACAAAAGTTAGCATTTAGGAATTATAAAAAAAACCAGAGTGAGGAAGACAAAATGATCTATAAGATTAGGCAGAAAGAGGCTAAGCAAGTTATAAGAGCTTCCAAATCACACACAGAAGAGAAAATAGCACAGTCAGTAAAAAAGGGGGATAAAACATTTTTTAGATACATAAATGAGAAAAGAAAAGTAAAACAAGGATTAGTTAGGATTAAAAACAAAAGAAGGAAGGTATGTAGAAGAGGATAAAGGTCAGGCTGACTGCCTCAATTAATATTTTTGTTCTGTATTTACAGAAGAAAATGAAGGAAAGGGACCTCAGTTGAGAAAAAGGGATAAATGAGCTTCATTTATTACATCGCGAGTTTGCCAGAGGAAGGTGCTCCTACTCAACTTCCCTCGTCAAAAGTAAAAGACAAATAAGTCAATGGGGATCTTGATGGAATACACCCAAAGCTATTAAAAGAGCTTAGTGGTGTACTAGCAAAACCATTAACAGATTCATTTAACTAATCATTGTTAACAGGAGTAGTCCCAGAAGATTGAAGAAGGTTGTGCCCATTTACAAGAAAGGTGTAATAGGGAGTGGAGTCGGGGCGTAAAATCTATAGGCCAGTGTTTTACCAGTAGTGGGTGGAAAGTTATGGAAACCATGCGCAAAGCATAGGATTGTTGAACATCTAAAACACATGGATTTCAAGATCAGAGACAACATGGGTTTACTTCAGGGAGATCATGCCAAACTAATCTTATTGATTTTTGATTGGGTAAATCAAAAATTATAGATCAAGTGGTGCAGTAGACAATGCTACCTAATGATTTCAGTAAGGCTTTTGACACTGCTGTGCACATAGAAGGCTCAATAAACTGCAATCTTTAAGTTTGGATTTCAATATTGTTGAATGGGTAAGGCAGTGGCTGAGTGACAGGCAACAGAGGGTTGTAGTTAATGGAATATATTCGAAGCTTGACTTGTCACCAGTGGGGTACCTCAGGGATCTGTACTTGGACCCATTCTCTTTAATATTTTTATTAGTGATATTGCAGAAGGTCTTGATGGTAAGGTATGTCTTTTTGCTGATGATACTAAGATATGTAACAGGGTTGATGTTCCAGGAGGGATAAGCCAAATGACAAATGATTTAGGTAAACTAGAAAAATGGAATTGTGGCAACTGACATTTAATGTGGATAAGAGCAAGATAATGCATCTTGGATGTAAAAACCCAAGGGCAGAGAGTACAGAATATTTGATAGAGTCCTAACCTCAACATATGAGGAAAGGGATTTAGGGGTGATTATTTCTGATGACTTAAAGGTAGGCAGACAATGTAATAGAGCAGCAGGAAATGCTAGCAGAATGCTTGGTTGTATAGGGAGAGGTATTAGCAGTAGAAAGAGGGAAGTGCTCATGCCATTATACAGAACACCGGTGAGACCTCACTTGGAGTATTGTACACAGTACTGGAGACCGTATCTTCAGAAGGATATTGATACCCTAGAGAGGGTTCAGAGAAGGGCTACTAAACTGGTTCATGGATTGTGGGATAAAACTTACCAGGAAAGGTTAAAGGATCTTAACATGTGCAGCTTGGAGGAAAGACGAGACAGAGGGGATATGATAGAAACATTTAAATATATAAAGGGAATCAACACAGTAAAGGAGGAGACTATATTTAAAAGAAGAAAAAACTACCACAACAAGAGGACATAGTCTTAAATTAGAGGGACAAAGGTTTAAAAATAATATCAGGAAGCATTACTCTTACTCGAGAGGGTAGTGGATGCATGGAATAGCCTTCCAGCTGAAGTGGTAGAGGTTAACACAGTAAAGGAGTTTAAGCATGCTGGGATAGGCATAAGGCTATCCTAACTATAAGATAAGGCCAGGGACTAATGAAAGTATTTAGAAAATTGGGCAGACTAGATGGGCCGAATGGTTCTTATCTGCCGTCACATTCTATGTTTCTATGTTTCTATGTTTCTATAACCCCCATTTGTTTAAATAAATATAGGAATTTAGGAGAGAGTGCAGGTAACTTTTTCTATGATTTTTACTGTATGTATTTGGGCTGATGTGTACCGTGGTCGTTGCTGCCGCCCAGGAGTGATGGGAGTAGGCGCAGGACTTGTTTTTTTGTATTTGTATTCAATTTTGTTAATCAGCCTACATGACGTGAAGTATAATTGCAATATTTCAAGAGTTAACACACATAGAGGCTTTAAAAGGTCCACCCTCTATTATTTTTTTTTACTGTTTTTAGTATTATATTTATTTTATATAATGTTCCATGACCACAACTACTTGAAAACAATAACATCTGTTAAATATGTAGTTGACATTATACAGAAAAAAAATAAAGATTAAATATATATATTATATACAGGATAATTTGTACAAAAAAATGCACTAGCTTAATACAATCAGATCTAAAAAGAACATAAAACTACTGAATCAATACTGACAGTTTACCTTTGGCCTTTAGATATAGATTGGCAAATAGAAAATTGAATGCCTACAAAAAGCTTCTGTCAGACCTGAGTGAGTTTGTGACATGTAAGGATTCTGTTCAAAGCAGAGTCTTAGGACCAATTACAAGTATCTGAGTTTTTGTTAGGAAGTAATAGCCATTTAAGGACCAGTAACTATCTTTGTTGTCAGAACAATATGGTTCTTAGAGACACAACTTCAATTAAAAATGTTTTGTAAAGTTCTAAAAATAATTTTAAATAAAAGAAAGGTCAAACGAGATTCTGAAATTCTTTTGGTCAGTCACTTAAAATGCATCATGCCATGATTCAGTCATCACGCTTTAATCCAAAAGTACATTTAACAGCTATAATGTTAGGTATACCAAAACAGGGACAATTCATATCACATCGCATGAAGGGTACAAGGGTAGAATGAATATTTGCATATTTGGAAATATCCATAACAATGCAAGGAAGAAGAGACAATTGATATTTAAGCAAAATTACCATGTTTTGTCTCTCTATATAATATTAGTCTCCTGAGTTAAGAAACGCTGGAATCCAAGGGGCAGGAAAATGTATAGTACTCTATGTATTTTTTTAAAACGGTATGTAAAAAAATAAATAAAACTTAACTAACTCAAATATAATTTAAACATAAAATCAAATGACAAACATGTTTCTCTATATCACAGCATGGTAGTTTGTATATATTTCAAATGCTCTAAAACAATAGCTAAAACATATTTTGCACATTTTTGAGAGCAGCTCACTTTTTATTTTCAATGTCCATTATAATTGACTTTTATTAACTCTTTATGTGTAGTATATGTTAGTTTTATGAACATGATCTGCTTTTATTTTTTTATAATTACTTTTAATTGAGATTTTTAGTTACATACAACAACAAACAAATAAATAGCACAGTTATAAATGTAATTATTTGTTGCTTAGTCAATCTTCCTACTTCTAAATAGCCTACCTATAACTAATGACACATAAATATGGCATATTCTAATTTTATCTCCTTTTCTTTTTTTACCCTCTTCTTTATTTCTCTTTCTTGTATTTAGCTCAAGGTGAGAGTATGATCAATGCTTTTACAATTTTACAAACATTCATACGGACCAAAAAACAAGATGTTTAAATGTTGTAGGTGGTTTTGATGAGTAACGGTTTTGATTAGTGTCGAGACGGCAGGAAACTAAGGGAACTACAAATATATCCTATGCCTATGTAAATATATATGTATCAATCAGGTGTCTATTATTTCCCATTTTTCATACCCTACTCTTTTTTCCCTTTCCCTCCTTTTTTTTTTTGAAAATGTATCGCCCTACAATAGAATTAAAATCTTAGTCCATTTTGATCATATATCTTTATATGAATTAATTCTACCTGTTTTTTTATAGACACCTTCTTTCATTTGGCACTGGAAATTGGTTCGATTAGCGATATTTGGCCCAGTAGGCATGGAAAGGATTTTCCAGTTCCTAGTCATAACTAGCTTGGTAGCCATGAGAATATAAATTATTAATATTTTGAGTTCCTGTCTACTATTTGGAAAATCAATATGAAATAAAAATGTTTGGGGGATAATATTTTCTGAGAACATACTGTTGAAACAATACACAATGTTGAAAGCATTCTTTTAGTCTCTGTCAATCCTTCTCATTCCCACCACATATGATATAATGTACCTTCTGAGTTTGAGCATCACCAGCTGTTCTTAGGATAATTATATTTGAATTTTCTGATGAGTGTGTTTCTGACTTGACATAAATCCTCACCCCACTTTTCAATTGAAAAAGAATTATGAACATGATGTGCTTTTAATTCCATTACAGTAAATTGTACAGGTTTTATATATTTTTCTCTACTTGGAAGTTAGTGGCTGAATTTCAGTTTGTGCAAAAATGATTCGGACAGAGAAAAATGGTGCAGAATTAAGCCAATAAGTGTACTGCAAAATATATGCATATGATAACTATTATATATATATATATATATTTTTTCAAAACACTAATATATGTATCTGTGCCATTTGGTTCACAGATTAAGTGATCAGAAGTAACAAATAGAAGGAAAAAGTCACTTCTCACTACTGCCCCAATTTAATATTTTTGGATAATCAAATTATTTAATATTTTTGAATGAACCTTTAAAATTATTTAATATTATAAAAAATATTATACATTATTTCTATTTTCAATTTTTTTATATATTGCTATATTTTTAAATGTGATATATTTATTGATACTTTATTATTTTGAGAAAGCAATTTTAAAAGTCTATTCAAAAATATAAAAAAATTGTAAATGCTCAACATTTAGTGGCTGTCCTTAACCATCAATCCCCCTTTTTCCTTTCAATCATAATTTTTTTTTTGCTCTTTTACTCATTCAATAACAGTTTTGTTTAAATTAAAATTCATCCATATGGTAATACAGAGTTCAGGAATTTGGACAAATTACAGATCACCAAAAAAATCATACAAATTAAGGTTTGTTTTGAACC